TTTACAAATTTCTCCTCACTAAAGAAAGACAGAGATTTGGATAAACCATTAGAGCTCAAAGGAACATATCCATTGCATGTGCTATCATGAGCATTGAGGTACAGTAAGCTAGCACATTCAGCTAAAATGGTAGGAAGCATGTACTGAATTTATTTGTACCAAAAGAGGCAACTTAAACTACAATTTTTAAGCAGGTATTACCTGCAATATGGCTGCACGTATACTGCTCTGGAGCATGCAGCATTTGTGCGCATGTAATACACAATATCCTGTATACAAATAGAGAAAATCAGCTTCCTCTATCCTCATGTTTCGTGCATAATGATATTACATGCTTTTTGGGGTAGCATCAAATGTTCGATTCGTCGATTCAAAGAAACAAATACCTACCTGACAGCCAGTGCTGTGCCCGAGTAGTACCACCCCTTCAGAATCTTCCTTGTTTATCAAGTAACTTATCAACTGATCAAGCTACGTTGCGTCCTTTAGAAGTTCACTGAGGTAGAAGGAAGTTAAGCTCACAAACACAAGCAAAAAGAGGAATAGCTCAAACAAGCAGATCCAAAGGTTTATGCACCCAAAACAGGAAACATTATTGAGTGTGGTAAATATATAAACGCAATATTTTGAATGCACAGGTGTTAGGACGTCAAACATAGACATAATAACATGCTTTTTTGAAAACCAAATGAAGACTAAAACAGGAAAATAATCATTAATACAAAAGCAGATCTGGGACGTGACAATTTCACAAGATGAGGCTTGACATTTGAGTAAAATATATTGGGGAATGCAAGGTTTAACGTTTTATAAGTATATATATGACACCATAAATTGGTACAAAATCATTATTTTTTATAATGATGGTGTCCGGGTCAGCTTGTACACCTCGACTATTCCACTGGGTGCCTGCTACCTCCCACCAGCACAGGTACCAGGTAACTCTGCTTACCAAGGTTTAGGCAGATAGAAAGAAATCACCTAGTGATTTTTGCCTCCGATGGGATTTGAACCTGAAACCTCGTGGTTCTCTTCCCACTTCATTGACCAATAAGCCACACCCTTGGGTGCTAGGTATAGAATCATATGTAAGCCTTGTGCTGTTGTAGATCATTCCTCTTTCTTTCCTTTTTTTTTTTTTTTTGTGGTGGGGAATGGGATAGAGGTTTGTTCTCATACCATTTATCCCAACTTCGTGTTCCCCCTCTTCAAAGAGGGGCTAATTTATAGTTTATGATCTATTGTTCAAAAAATTGCCATTGACCAACATGCTGAATTTAATCATTTGAAGGAGAATAACATCTTTTGGTCAAGTTCCATGCACTTCTGAATGAGAGTATATAGAAGAACTGGCAGCAACCTTTCCAGTTATATGACTAGTATAGGAAAGTGAGGGTGATAGCCATGTTCAAGCACTAATTTAGATGAAGATGGAGCTGTATGGGGGTTCAAAACAATGTTCCTCAAACCTTAACAACTACAAACACCATTCCAACATTTTCAATTCATTAAAAACTTCTGAAGGTAAAGATCCCAAAGCAACTGCCTTAAAATCATGTGAAGCAAATCTTAGCTTAAGTTCCATGTCCGAGAGATCTAGGAGTTATTATGTGATCTATTCCTTTTTCTCAACACAATTCCTCTTTGATTTCCAGCCTTGCAAACAGAGTAAATTGTCTCTAGTCCAGCTCCTTTTATATCCTTCTGACCTTAAAACTGTGTCAAGCCCTTACCCATCATAAATCCTTTATGATTAAGGAACTTCTAACAAGTTTCGGTATCAAACCTTCTGAAAAACAAACCACGAGCAAATTTGCACTGAATTATGATGTCTTCCGGCTGTCCAAGACATCCTTGAAATTGACAACTTAAGCTTTTCCGGAACAGGATTGCAAAATTTAAGCTTTTCCTTCTTTAAAAGTCTTTATTGTTTTCAGGAGAAGGCATATATAAGAACATGTTTCTATGGACCTGCGTGAATGCATGATACTTTGTTCATCGGACTGCCCTTTATTTTTCTTCTTTCTATGGACTAAATGAGTTGAGAGAGATTGTAACTTTTACCTTTCACAGTACATGATCAATGATGGAATAACCTAATAAGCATGTCAAGATCTCGAACAAAATATATTGACATGGAAATATTGACTACAATACACCCTCTCTTGCTGATACCTCAGATCTAGTACAAGAATCTACATATCAATGAGAACAGTTTGAATATACATGGAAAGAGGAGGAAGAGATTTTTACTTGTCTCAAGCTTGACGTTCCATATCCACTATAAGATGATGAAAGTAGAAACTGAACCAATGAGCATTTTTCTTTATCCAAAGCAATAGCCAGAGGCTCTAAGTAACTGCAATAACGGAGATCATCAANCAGGGGCAAGTAGCAGCAGATTTAAATACAGTTTTGGGGAATAGGTTGCAGAAAAAGATATTTCAAGGTAATTTTCTTTAAATTTAAAATGTTATCACTGAGGACCTTAGTCCAATATTTTCGTGATTATGGAAAATGCAAAATCTTCGATAAGTCATTTGAATTGAGCCAAGTCAAATAAGGAACAGTTCGAAAAGAAAATCATTTTTTCTTTCTTTGATAAGCCAGTTTGAAAAGAAAGACCTTATCTTCAATATATTTTGAACACCCTTAATCCAGACCATGAACAAAAAAGTGAAAAAAGAAAACAAAAACATGGAGAAGGGAATGAGAAAAGAGGAAGAGAGGGCAGATGGGTGAGAGGGAAGTTTAAACCAATGTATTAAGATACATACTCAGTAGCTAAAAATCCATCCGTTAGTCCACCTATGAAAATGGCCTGTTGTTTATAATCACCCGTTTTAAAAGCAACCTGCAAGAAACTGAAGGCATCACGTTAGAGAATTGAGTACATAAGAGTAAATGGCATTGGAAGTCCTTGAAGTTTTTGATTCTATAATTACTTCCTTAAATTGAAACTTTTTCCATCTGTTCCCTACACATTGTCTTTTAGCAAGCTGCCAAGCTTTAGGGGAGAAGGGGAATGAGCAGAATGTTTCTCCACTGTGCATTCTTCAATTTGACAGGCAATAGAAGGACAGAGACCTCTAACTTATTGAGAAAAAGGATTGGAGGAGAAAAATAGCAACGCAAGGCAGTTTGGTTCTGTATTGTGTGTTTGATCATTTTAGCTTTAATTCTTGATTGGTCATACTCTTCCCTCGAGTTATGATCTGTGTCCCCATATAAAAAACATGTTCCAGTCAAGATAATGTTTGATGGAAATAGCATTCCACTGGCTAGAAGGACCAGTTATGAGCACAAATAAATGTTGAAGGATTAACGTGAGCAAATCCAGACTGCTTTAGAGAGAGTGTTTGAAAAAGTGAGCGACGCTAGGCGACGCCACATCGCTTTTCTGACCCGGAAGCGAATGGATTTACAAAAGCGAGCGCGTTTATACTTGAATCGAGAAGCAAAGAAAAAAAAGTGAGCACTTCATTTAAATGGGTCAATTTAAAAAAAGGATTGGGTCTTTTTTTTTAATTATACAAAACATAGACCCCAACCCAAAGCGAAGACATTTCTTCTTCTTCTTCCATCGAGCAGACTGCTGCTAGGGTTCGCCGCTCCAGCCTCCAGGTAATTTTTCTTCCTTCTTTATTTTTCTCTTCTTTCTTCCCGTCGAGGCGTTCAACCTTTGTTTATTAATTTTTGTGTGTATCTCAATTTATAAACTTAATTATTATATTTTGAAATGTTGCTTCTTTGATGATTTCAGTATATTAAATTTAATTTATTTTTTTATTTTTATTTTATTTTTTTGCATTTGAAATGTTACTGATTTCAGTTATTAAATTTAATATAATTAAGGTGTTGCTGATTTCAGCTATAATATATATGTTATATTTTCAATTTATATCTTTATATTTGATTTTTTATATCTTAATAGGGATTAAAAATGTCTCAAAGTTCGAAAGAGAAAGATTCGGCTTGACAATATGGCGATAAAGTTAATGAGAAGAATAACAAATGTAATATACAAGCTTTGTAACAAGATTATCACGGAAAAAATTTATCGCTTTAAATTCCATCTTATTGGCGGCGATAGAAACGTCACAAGTTGTCGAAAATGCTCGCCGAAGGTGAGGGAGGAAATAAAGAATTTTGATAAGAAGAAGGAGCTAAAACATCGAATGAGTCATCAACCATTTATGACCAATCTTGATGATGATATGGAAGAAGGTGAAGCCGCTAATTGGTCACTACCAAGTTCCAACAAAACGGGGAAGAGATGCAATCTTTGAAAGCCATGGATCGACGAGTACGAGTAGGACTAAAGGTCTTATAGATTGTTATTTTCCAAAGAAGACAGAAGCAAAGAGCGGTGGAAAAGATTTGCAAAAATTTGCGAAGGACATTTTAAGGGATCGTGCACTTAAAGCTTTGCACGATGGGTCTATGATGCAGGCTCTCATTCATTTGCGTTAGCTGTACTGACATTTTTGAAGACTTTATTGAGGTCGTTGGTCAATATGGACCTGGAATGAAGCCCCCCACTTATCATGAAATCAGAGATCTTTATCTAAATAAGGAAGTGGAGGAGACCAATAAAATTGTAGAGGAACATAAAGTTATGTGGAACAAGTATGAATGCTCCATTATGATGGATAAATGGACGACAAGAACTGGAAAAATGATTATTAATGTGTTGGTGAATCCTCCCAAGGGAAGTTTTTTTCTTGAGTCAAAAGATGCTAGCGATGCGTCCGTTGACCACATCAAAATGTCCGCCTTGTTTCAGAACACCATTGAAAAGATTGGCCCAAGCAATATTATTCAAGTTGTCACCGATAATGCGAGTGAAAATATAAAGTGGGTGGTGGTGCAAAAAAAAAGAATAATGTGTGCAGCTTCTTTCCCCGTGCTTCCTTTGCAAATTTACTCTTGTTCCATTCTTCTGAAATGAACAACTTTCTCAAATTGGCTTTTTGCAAATGCATACTATGCAAAGTCAGGAAAGTAGTGGCAAATCTTGTCTTGCCCTGTTTCACCAAAATTTTTTGTTTGGTGAATCTTCTCATCATATTCAATAACAAGGACCGCTGAGCTATATAATAATGCACCCTAACGCCCCTGTCAACAGCTGTAGAGAAGGGTGTTTCCTTGAAAATGTTCCCGACAATAAGTAGATACAATGAGCCGCACATAGAGTCCAGTAGATATTCGTGTAGGCTCCTTGCACCACCCCACTCGCTTTAATATTTTCACACGCATTATCACTGACCACTTGAACAACATTGCTTATGCCAATCTTTTCAATGGTGTTCTGAAACAAGGAGAACATTTTGATGTGATCAGTGGGCCCGCCACTAGCATCAATAGACTCAAGAAACAAACTTCCCTTGGGAGAATTCACCAACACATTAATAATCATTTTCCCAGTTCTTGCCGTCCACTTATCCATCATAATGGAGCATCCATACTTAATCCATACAACTTTATGTCCCTCCACAATTTTATTAGTCTACTCCATTTCCTTATTTAGATAAGAACCTCTGATTTCATGATAAGCGGGGGGCTTCATTCCATGTCCATATTGACCAACGACCTCAATAAAGTCTCCAAAAATGTCAGTATAGTTGAAACAATTGAAGGGGAGCTCTGCATCATAGACCCCATTGTGCAAAGGCTTTAACTGCACGATCCTTTAAAATGTCCTTGGAAATTTTTTGTAAGTCTTTTCCACCTCTCTTTGCTTCTGGCTTCTTTGGGAAATAACAATCTATAGGACCTTTAGTCCTACTCGTACCCGTTGATCCATGGCTTGAAGAGAGTGCATCTTTTCCCCATTTTGTTGGAAGTGACAAATCAACAACTTCACCTTCTTCCATATCATCATCATCATCATCATCAAGATTGGTCACAAATGGTTGATGACTCATTTGATGTTTTAGCTCCTTTTTCACAACAAAATTCTTTATTTCCTCCCTCGCCTCCGGCGGGCATTTCAGACAGCTTGTGACGTTTCTATCGCCACCAGTAAGATGGAATTTAAAGAGATAAATTCCCCTTGTTGTAATCTTGTTACAAAACTTACATATAACATTTGCACTATTCTTCTCATTAACTTTATCGAAATATCGCCAAGCCGGGTCTTTCTCTTTCAAACTTTGGGACATTTTTAATCCCTATTAAGATATAAGAAAAACAAACATAATGAAACAAACTGAAAATATAACATATATATAACTAAAATCAGCAACACCTCAATTAAATTAAATTTAATAACTGAAATTAGTAATATTTCAAAGAAAAAGGAAAAAAAATATAATAGTTAAGTTTAATATACTGAAATCAGCAAAGAAACAACATTTCAAAATATAGTAATTAAGTTTATAAACTCAAATGCACACAAAAATTAATAAACAAAGGCTAAATAACAAGAATAAAAGCAAAAAAAAGACTGTTGCCTGCCCTAGCAATGGGCAGCAGTCGATGCCTCGACAGAAATAAGAAGAAAGAAGAGAGAAAAAAAGGAGAAGAAAAAAGTAGAAGAAGAAAGAAGACAAAAAGAAGGAAGAAAAATTGCCTAAAGGCTAGAGCAGCGAACCCTAGCAGCAGCAGCAGTCGATGCTAGATGGAAGAAAAAGAAAAAGAAATGTCGTCACTTTGGATTGGGGTCTATGTGTTGTATAATATAAAAAAGATCCAATTGAAAAAAAATTGACCCATTTAAATGAAGCGATCCCTTTTTTCACTTCGCTTCTCTGCGTTGCTTCTCGCTTCAAGTATAGAAGTGCTCGCTTTTGTAAATCGATTCGCTTTAGGGTCAGAAAAGCGATGGGTCGTCGCCTCATGTCGCTTCTCGCTTAAAGCGACAAAGCGCTCACTTTTTCAAAGTTCAAACACTGAGAACCCGTTCAACAACCAATATTGACAATAACAAGATAGAAATTGATGACCTGATTGTAACAACCTTTCTCTATGCATGGATGTGCAAGCAAAAAAGTAAATAACAAAAAACCCACTATCCGTAGAAGTAACTCAAGATGTCTTCACAAAGCAAATACAGTAATGAAAAGACACTCGTGCACAAATGTCAGATTTAGACACTTCTTAGCTCAATTGCCGAATGATATTCAAGTAAACAAATTCTGTTATTAAATGTTCAGCTTAACACAATGTTAATTGGCCCCACAATTAACATGCAATGCTTCTGGTCTTTGTGCCCGTGGGTATCATCTGTTTTGATTGAATGGGTCTCACTAGTTTGACTACTAAAAAGCGCATCGGAAGGTAAGAATTTTCTTTTCGTTTCTTCTCCTTGTTCACATCTGATGTAGGACACATTGAGTCTCTATTCTCCAAGGAAGCTTATGATAGTAGTCCATATACTCTTCTTCAAACTGGAGTAATACTTTTCTCCTAATAATACGCCTCACTTGGAGATCATCAAACTCCCCCTGACAACACTCCCCTCTCTCTCTTTCTCTCTTTGCAACACAGTGCAGTTCTTTTTTTGTTATATGTCATTACAATTCAACTCTCGGGGGTTGACCTGGTGGCAATTGACTTGAGTCTTGGGGTATGCTCCCTTTCAAGGTCTCAAGTTCGAAACTCACTGGGTGCAAACAATTTCTGAGGGCCATCGAACTAGGTAAAACCTGAATTAATCGTAGTGTACTTGCGGGAAACTCCTTGTCGAGGACGTGTGTACCCCCGGGATTAGTCGGGCCTCATAGAGACTCGGACACCTGGTGCAAATCAAAAAAAAATATGTCATTGCAACTCTACCACTTGTTGGCCTGAAGTTTTAGTTTCTAAATGGCAACTACCATTAACATACCTGCAAGATGTATTAGAAATATGAATGTGAAGATGGATGTGCATCCATAAAACATTAAACAAAAGAATAAATAATCACATAATGAATACAAGTAGCACATGTAAAGGATAAATGAGAGAAGGTTGTCTGAGATAGTTAGGCCATGTCATAGGTAGAACTCCAAATACACCGGTCCATGACCATGATTGTAAAACCATGATGATTATTGTGTTAAAAGGAGTCAATGTAGACCAAAAATCGTGTGGAGAGAAGTTGTTTCGAAATCTGTGGAGTTACTGATGAATAAAACACAACTAATGCACAAGATAAATTTGGAGTCACTACCAACTAGTTAGAATTAAGGCTTAATCAATTGGTATACTTCCATTCGGTCTGATGTTTTCCAAGATTCTTCTAGTTTATTTAGAGATTTACATACCAGTATAAAACATCGAGAATTCCTAGCATAAGAGAACCTAATTTGTCATTACATTAAATAACGGTGGTGTTTAGGCCAGCTCGCGTACTCCATACCTGCTACTTCACACCGGAGATGTATCTTGTAGCTCTGTCCATCAAAGTTTAGACATATGAGAAGAAATCACCTAATTTTTTTTGTTCTATTAGAATTTAAACTCTAGTCTCTCATAGTTCATTCTAGCTTTATTGACCATTAGCTCAACCCTTTGGCGGTAGAAACCTAAGGCTTTATTGGGTGTGAGGATGAAATGGGTTCAAATGGAGCAAAATGGATATTGAGAATGCATATTGTATCATCTTGTGTTTAGTATTACAAAAAGACATCGCTCTGTCGCTTAAAGCGACGAAGCAATGCAATCTAGAGAATTGTGCGCTTCAAATAATGATGC